CCGGGAGTTTGAGTAAAGCTCTTCACAACTAGTCGCACTTTAAATGTGTGTACCTTTCCATCCACGTCGGTCTTCTTCTTGAAGATCCATTTGCACCCAACGGTCTTACGACCAGGCACATTATCAACCAAATTCCAAACTTGGTTATCATACATGGATTGGATCTCGCTATCCATTGCCTCTTTCCATTTCGCAGACTCCGGGCCTGCCATGGCTTCCTTATAGCTATTGGGTTCATCAAGATTTATTAGTGTACTATCACTAATATACGTGTCCCCTTCGGTAGTAATATGAAAACCATATATCTGGGGTTGAAACCTAACTCTTTCGGAACGTCTAAGAGGTAATGATATGTCAATTGGTTCAACCAGAGTTTCCTCCTCGGGTTGAGTGCTAGCGGTAGAGGTTCCTTCATTTATCGACTCCTGAATCTCTTCAAGATCGATTTGCCTCCCACTATCTCCTTGGCCTATGAGTTCACGTTCTCGGAAAACTCCTCTCCTCGCAACAAAGACAACATTGTCCTTCGGTGTATAGAAGAGATATCCAAAGGATTTCTGCGGGTAGCCGATGAAAATACATCGCTCACTACGAGGTTCGAGCTTGTCGTGAGTATCTCGTCTTACGAAAGTCTCACAACCCCAAACCTTGATATGTGCTAACGAAGGAGCTTTCCCCATCCACATCTCGTGAGGTGTTTTGGAAACCTTCTTAGTAGGGACTCGGTTAAGGATATGGGCGGCAGTCTCTAAGGCATACCCCTAAAAAGAGATATATAGCGAAGCACGACTCATCATAGAGCGAACCATGTCCAACAAGGTTCGGTTACACCTTTCTGCCACACCATCAATTGTGGTGTCCTAGGTGGCATCAATTGTGAAACTATTCCACACTCCTTGAGATAATTGTAGAGTTCAAGACTTAGGTACTCTCCTCCTCGATCGGATCGAAGCATCTTGATCTTCCTGCCCAATTGATTCTCCACTTCACTCTTAAACTCTTTGAACTTTTCAAAGGTTTCTGACTTTTGCTTGATTAAGGCTCTGATACCACTGATGGGTTTTAGCCATAAGAACTTTCCTATGTGCGCATGCAAAACCCTAATGCTCGGATCTAGGCTTTCTAATCAAACATGCTTTGAATCCAAGACTTCTAATGACTATTTAGATGTAAAAACAATATTGAAACAGATCTAGAATCATACCTCTTGATTCCTTGTTGATCTTGTTGTCATGGAGCTTCTAGAGTCACAATTGTCACTCCTCTAATGGCTTACAAACACCAATAGCAAGGAGGATGATTTGGGAGAGAGGAGAGGAGAGGAATTAGGCCAGAGTGTCTCTACTTTAGATGGTGTGTCGAATTCCCTCACCCCTAGGGTCTATTTATACTTGTAGACTCCTTAAGGATTACAACTTTAACCCTAATTGAATAACTTAGACTTTAAGTTAATCCATATCCTTTCCTTGATAACCCTATGGACGATTTTTGGCTTATCCAAGCCCTAGAAATCGTCCATCCTATCTTGGATAAGGATTTATAGTCTAAAGTGTAACTATCAAACAATTGACAGTTTATACCCTCTTATTTAATTAATCTCTTTAAGTCACCAAATTAATTCCAATTAATTCTATGACTTATATTAATCAAATAACTATATATTATTCTTTATATTATTCTCATAATATACTAATAATATTAACTCTCTCTTAATAAATCATTCTATCAAGTTGCTATGGTGAAGGCAACCCAAAAGGATCATGCACAACCGGGTCAAATACTTGCCTAATATAGTTGTAGCCTTAGACACTATTCCAACAATATCATCCAACTTTTCACTCCAATCTTTAAACAAGTAAGTGATTCATCCATTAATTTTCTATTGCATGACCTTAACTAGCCTTCCCCTTTGATTTGATCCATGAAAATACCTTTTTGGTGTTAGATCTTCAAAAACACCAAGAACACCAAGAACACACACTAAGTTTTGGACTTAAATCACCCTTTTCAAGTATCTATAACGTGTATATACTTGTTATACCTTGTTATATGCTAAGAACACTAAATGGTATGCTTGAAAAACTGGAGTTTATCATCTTCATAAAGGGTGTGCGGGCGCACACCTTCATGGTGGCCGCATACTTCATGAAGTAAGAAAACTTCCTAGATGAGTCCTAAGGCCTTACATTGCATTTTGGCACACTTCATGGGGAGTGTGCGGCCGCACACACATCCTGGCCGCACACACACAAATAGTGTGTATTTTGACCATACACTCCGTTATAAGGCCATATATCCCTTATATGAAATCATATATGGTTGTAACACTTCAAAATAAGTGTTTACTAGTCCCTAAGATGGTTCAAATTCAATAATTAGTTGTTATAAGCACTAATTATATATATATATATATATATATATATATATATATATATATGTCATCATATGGTTAATAGGATTCAGTTGTGCTCAAGTCTCCAATCGACACCCAACAATCTTGTATCATTCTTTCATCCGAGTTACTACAGGTGAGTTCATACCCCTTAATCAACCTTTTAAATGATTTTAAATGCTTTTATGGGGGGAATACAAGTTGACACCTTATAGTTATTACATCAATCACATGTGATTAATAACTATCAAACAAATGGATTTACTATACTTTTAACTATTTTACCAAGCAAACTGCTTCAAACTGTTATCAAACTCTTCTACATGACAAACTGTTTACCAAACTCACTTTTATAGATCAAACCTTTTCTTTTACAGCTTTCAAACTTATATATTTTCAAAACCATGTTTGATACATATATAGTTATATAAGTAAGGTTTGAAGGACTGAGGATTGATAACTCACTTTAATTCTTGTTCCTTGTTTGGTTGTAGACTTAAAGTACCCTGTTGTTTGTCCGGGTGTCTTTGGATCCTTAGTTATATATTATGTATATATGTATAGATATAAAGGCTTTTATCTCAGTTCAATACATTTAGTCATACAACAAAATTCTACTAGTAAACTATAATAGGTATAGTTTAGGGATATACTACTCATTAGTTCTAATTCAATGAAGCATACAAAGAGTCAGTTAATTCATGAGTCAATACTTACTATTATGAGAAACTATCCAACTATACTATAATGACAAACTAAGAGAAATTACTACTATGAGAAACTATACATACATACTATGAAGAGAAACTGATAGAGAATACTATAACGAGAAACAATGCATACACTACACTAGTACATACAATACATATACAAGTATACTATAACATAAATGTGAACCACTGATTCGGGGCATGTCATCACTGCCGTGGCTCGATTTGTATCCAGAGTCTCCTGGAGGGAGAGCGTGAATTTGCATGTAGATCTATACTGGATTGACTACCCTACACCTTGTTGCTAGCTACAATGGGACCTGCAGGTCTTCGGGTGCCAAATGTCATTACTTCCGACATCTTTCATCGTATTGTTTTTAGTCGATAGTATGGTACAATTAAATCACATTATACCTTGATAAAAATCCGGTTTAAGGTAGTTAGTACGACAATAGTTACTATAATACGACACTACAATACTATATTATTTTCCCATTGCATTCACTTTGTGATCTTCTAACATAAACGGTAATGTATAAACTATATTTTGTTAATGATAGTCACACTTGGGAAAATTACACACTTTTACAAGAACTAACATACAAAACAGTCTGGCCTTTGTAGAAGACGACTTTTAGTAGAAAATAAAGGATTTTCTAGGAGATCAAACATTTACAAACATTTACAACCATCTACAAACTTTTACAAACTTATACATTCAAACACTTACAAACATTTTCATACAATCAATGACACTAAAATGCTTATGAACTCACTAGCTTTAAAGCTAATAAACTCTATACAAAACAGTCGGGCCTTGGTAGAAGATGACTTTCAGTAGAAAATATAGGATTTTCTAGGAGATCAAACATTTACAACCATCTACAAACTTTTACAAACTTATACATTCAAACACTTACAAACATTTTCATACAATCAGCGACACTAAAATTCTTATGAACTCACCAGCTTTAAAGCTAATAAACTCTTTCAAAATAACTTGTATTCTCAGATCATCAGTAGAAAGGTACCGATGCCAGCTTTTGAAAAGATGGAGCACATTCAAGACTCATCTGTTATTTTGGATTTTGGAGCACATTCAAGACTCATCTATTATTTTGGTGTCTTATAAACTGTTCAGAACAATTGTATTAAAATACATTATTAATGCAATGGATGATGTTGTTTGCTTGTTTACTATTATTCTGTGTTGTGATACTGTACATAACTTCCTACACCCCAAAACGTTTTCCGCCGTTCGGTTTTTAGGGTGTGACAATGTAACTAACAATCAACATCATGAGCAGGAGGATACAACCCACACTTCACAACCTCCAACTTCAAAACCTATTCCAAAGGTATTATCCCCTCCTTCCTCATCTACTCCCACCTTGGATATTTTTGACTCGATTATCTGAGAATCGTTTCTAAACTTCACTAATGAACCTCCACCACCACCATATAACCCTCTATCTACCGAAACAACTACCTCACCCATCTCTACAACAATTCTGATCTCATCCATTCCACCCTTACCCTCAACTGCCCTAACAACAACATATATTCAAACCTCACTACCCACACTTTCAATTCCACTTTCCTCAACAATCTTTACCAACTCCATGACACCCACAACCTTAATTGTCTCAACTCAACTGGAAGTCCCTATATTAAAATCCATTTAAGAGGAGATACAAACTTTAGGAATTTCTGTCAATGCATCTGATGCGGGGGGGGGGGGGGGGGTTCAATTTCGCTGTCACTTCCGAAACAGGCACATCAATTGCTCCTCCTCTCAACAATGATGAAGATATCTTGTTTGAAGAATATCAATAAACATTTACTGATTTTGTCTTCAGTCCATTCACTATATCCATAGTGACAAAGATGACGCTCTAATGACGAAGGGTCAACTCAAGAAGTTGAATGTGAAGCTGGACTCGATCCTAGAGCATTCTAACACATTCTTTTCAACAAAGTGGGAGAATCTGTTCACCACTCACAGGGCCACTATTGAGATACTCGCCTCCATAAATGCGAAATTCATTGAAGAATCCTCCAAGGTCATCCATAATTCTAAAAAGAGGATTTCTGAAGTGACTAGAAACGTCGAAAAACTACATCAAGAGGTGAAAGAATTCAAGAATGATTTCCGAATCTCCTCTGATAAAAGACAACATACATGAATAAGGTGATTGAATGATTTCGTTTCACGTTAAAAGCCGAGAAAGAAGCCCTATCTAAGCTCCATGCCGAGGTCAACTTGACAATGATGATCTCAATTCATCCATCACATCACATATCACTAAGTTGTAATCCAATTTGGCTATTGAAAATAATATCATCGATGAATTGGTTGAGAAAACACAGAAAACTAAGGTTCACTGTGAAGCTAAAGAATGCTATCCGTACATTGCCTAACTTGAAGAAGGGAGATCTTAGTTAAAGGGTGCATTTCTGAAATCAACCAATACTTGATATGAATCGTTGAAACTCATGATTCCTCATTCATTGTCACTGTAAGATAGAATCTCTCTGAAAAGCTTCAACCTATATTCGCCATGCTAAATCAGATACATGGTGTTTCGTGAGGTGGGGCTTGGAAGAAAAGATAAAGGTCGAAACTAATTGGAAGGATAATGAAGCTTCTAGATTAGGAAAAGATAAAGGTAAAGGTATTTCAGAAGAAGAAATTGATGAAAATGCAAACATGGCTGAGTCAGAACAAGCAGAAAGAGAGAAAAAAGACAAAGACCTTGACGAACTCAATGCTCTTCAGAAGAAATTAGAGGCAGAAGAATTTGAAGCAAAGAATGCATAACTGATTCTGGAAACTCAGAAATCTCCATTTCCTGCCTGGTCTCATGAGTGTATTCAGAAATAAGACATGGATGATTCGAATCTCTACTGGCTGGAGTCAACAACCTCTTTTGACATTAACAATGATGTGTAATGTTAGTTCGATTCTCCCATCACATCAAGAGCCTTCATTTTCAAGTGTTTCAAAAAGATTGAAAAAGTCCTTGATCTCATACAGTGCTGTAAATCATAAGTTTTTTTGTTTTACTTGAAATATGCAAAACCGCAATATGAGACATGTAATTAAAAAGAATCATGACATTGAAGGTTTGGTTGCCTGTTTAGATTGAAGATTTGTTGAATATATAGTTCAAGGGAGTCTGAGGTGCTAAGCATGTTTTATATGAGTTCCCCTAGGCAAATTTGCCATTCATGAACCCATATGATGGGATCTCCTTATTCTACATTTTTACAAGAGACAAGAAGAGATATGAGCCAATTATTTCACACTTGAAAAGGATGATCAAATGTTACATCCTTGAAATTGCGAAGATGGATATTGAGATCACACTAGTTTTGAAGAAGAGGCCTATTATGAAACAAAAAGAACAACCTAATAATATCCAACATTTGAGGGTAGGTGTCATTCAGAAGAAGCATTAGATAATTGTTTACAAGAGAAAGGAATGTGAAGTGGTTTAGAACTCCATATTCTTTTTAATGGACAAACACATGTACTCATCAACGGCTCTGAAAACAATCTTGTCCTCTACAGAAGCTCACAAAGCCAATTCTGCTGCTGATGTAAAATATGATTCACATATGATACATTGGTATTTGTCAGTTCGAGGATCACTTCTAAAGATTATGCCAAAAGTATTTGATGCAAAAATACATTAAAGAAGTCCTCCCTATATTTGACATAAAGGGGGAGAATTTGATATGGCATTCGAAATTGGATTGTGATTTATAAAATTGGAGATTTTTTATGAAGCTTGTGGCAGCGATATGAAAGTGGGTATATCATTTTTAGGTATTGGTGAACTTTAGCACGGGGATCCTAAACGTTCTACTATTATCGTGGTACTTTGATTGACTATGACTTCTAGAGATTTCTCGATCAAGTGAAGTTACGAATCTTGAACTTGATTTGTTACATGATATTTTTTTGGTGACTTATATCTTTAGCATATTTGAAGATCATAGGGTACAAACAAGTTTTAGGCCAATAACCCACATGTCATAAAAAAGCTCCCTTGTCATCATCCATGGAATACTTTGAACCTTACATTCTCCCCCTCAAAGTATGGAATGGAAGACAAGGCTTCAACTTCCAAAACAAACCTCTAGCAAATAAGAAAAGATAATTGTGACTTGGAAGGGGGGGGGGGGATCTTCAAGATAAGAAATGATTTGGTTTTTTTAATTCTGAAATGGGTTTCATGGTGGGTTTGGATTTCTTGACAATCTTTGGGATTACATTAGAAATGAAATTGAAAAAATATTACTTTAATACTTGGTTTCGTATTCTATATCCTAGAAGCCATTTTGAATACAATTGAAGAATCAAGACTCGTGGATTGCTTCAATATTCCTCGTCACAACATCTCTTCTTATTTGCTAAAGGCTTGTTTTGGAAGTTGAAGCCTTGTCATCCATTCCATAATGTGAGAGGGAGAATGTAAGGTTCAAAGTATTCCATGGATAATGACAAGGTCCTTCCTTTTATGACATATGGGTTATTGGCCTAGACTTGTTTGTACTCTATAAATAGTCATGTAATATTCATTTTTGAGTAAAAGAGGCAGATATAGTCACTAAATGAGATGA